CCCCCCCCCCCCCCCCCCCCCCCCCCCCCCCCCCCCCCCTCGCCGCCTCTCAGCCCCCTTCTCCACCCACGTTTTCAGTCTCTATCTCCGCATTTCTCCCTCTCACTCCACACGCACATACACACACACACCTAGTACATTTCTCCTCCCGCAAGCCTCTCAACATCTGCACAACGGCCACCAACAACGACGACAACGAACGATAGGAGGCGTTAATGTGTTCAGAAGCACATGCATTGCTACTTGCCAACTGTCATCACATTCACAGCACTGACAGTGTGATTCAAAGTTCACATCGTTTCTTCATCGTCTTGTTCTGTGTGACGTTCAGCGAAATCAAACGAGGCGCAAGATAGATGCCGATAGAAACGAGTCTGTCGACTGGCGCGGCTCGCCGAAAAGGTCTTCTGTTCCGGCTAAAGTGGCCCGCTGTGAGGGGGGAATTTTTCGAACGCGCAAAGCATCAACCGGCCAGAGTGGGAGAGGGAGGGAGAGCGACGGAGGCCGATGCACACTCATAGACCGACGAGGTGTTTGTTCGGCTGGAACAGAACACGTGCAACGTGCACAGTACGTTGAAGATCGTATTCGTCGCGACGAACAGCTCGATTCTGGGCGTTAGCCAGGTGCATACGATAAGAAAGTACATCAACCCATCATATACATATGCACACATACAAAATATCCACATATACATATAGCTGTAGAGTCATACATGCACTTATAAACGACGATACACAAACACGAAGCTCCCCGCTAGCTAAACGCCATGCCGCTATCAATCGTTTCGCGATAGTCATTTTTCCAGCGAGCCCGATAACGCCGTGGACGCCGATGGTCGTGTAATGCGTTGGTGAGCGACGCGGAAGTCAAGAAATTGGCTAAGAAATGGCCATTTTTCAGTAATTGTGCCGCAAAACCATTTAGATAGAGAATATGGTAGAGAGTGTGATGAAGACAGTTCATATGAAGTGCCTACATCCGCAATGTTTCCCCATTAACCAGAATAAAAACATTGATCATAGTTTGGCCCCAAGGAGAGAGCGCATGCATTAGGGCAAGGGGCAACTATCCCACTAGAAGAGTGTAAACAATGGGAAAAAAACTTTCGCCGAATAGACAACGATAAGTAAGACTGATGAACCGTTTTGACAAGAGTAAAAATGTGATAAGAGGGCAGGAAAGGTTGAAACAACGAACTTGAATGCGATGTGACGAGTAGATTGATGCTGTAGCAGCGGTGGCGGCGTAGACTGCTGTGGTGGCTGATGTCGTCGCACATGAATACGGGCGAAACGCTGAGGCAGTGTCGTCGTCAAAACTGTCGACGACGTCGCGCCGACGTCGATCGGCGGTTTCAGTAACGGCGGCGAATGAATCCACTGTGACGGGCCCAGTTGACGACACAAGGGGTTGAGCATCAAAGGGCAACCGGCTATCGTTTCTCGACTCGTTGAATGTTGAACTGACGATCTGGCACATCCGATGTGTCGGTCTTTCAATGTGCAGCGTGCGTGGGTGATGTGACCACGTTATGCCTGGAATTGATTTTCATTTATATTAATGTTACTGAAGAGAGGCGAACATACATGAACATGCCAAATACCAACACACTACATTCACACACAACAGCAGCTCAATGCCCACTTTCGACTTTTTTGGGATTGAATCAATTGGAAAGTTTAAGTAAATCTCTGCCTCAGTACTTCAACAATATCTCCGACATTCTCTTTCAATAAAAAGAAAGGCAAACGACAAATGGTTCAATACAGCATTATTTCCCTTTTGTATTACATATCCCCGTTAAGATAATTCAAAAATTATGCATGAACGAGTAAAGCGATGGCAAAGTGGGGGAATCTATGTGCTTTTTCTTTAGGCTATAAAGGGTGAACCCGTTTAGATGTGGGGATATTTCTATTGATGAGGACTCGATCGATTACCTTAAATACGGCTCAAGTAGATAATCCTGAACATAAAATCCGATAGAAATGTTAATGCGTTACACTCGGTCTTTTTTGGGAGAGCCAGAAGTTACACTCCTTGGGGTAACCGGTGAATTCGATTATTGATCACATCTCAGTGATCAAACCTTTCGAAATTGATCGATATCGAAGGGGTGAAGAAGTCACGTTTACAGAGCACTAATAATACGTTTTGGGTAGGTCCTAGAATTGGTAAAGATTTTGCTTGAAGCCCTAGAAAATCTTGGTAATATCTGTGGTGCAACGATCCGGTGCCGATAGTAATCCTTTGGGAAAAATCACAGCAGTCTGTCGCTTGGTTACAGAAGGCCGCCGATCACAATGAATGGCAAGTTATTCGATGAAAAGGAATGAATTGCAGATGACTTAAGCCTATTTTGGAATAAGATGAGACAATTGAGATATTCGAGGGCAACGGGCATGTTACGTTTCGTTGGTAAATGGCTGTCGTCGATGAATCTTTCCTCTGTGTCAGGAGACGCAACGAAAGAACGAAAGAGCGGCAACGGCAATGGCAAAAACCAATGCGATTTCAGAGGAGGAATCGGGTGGCTCTGAACAACGCACGCAACTCACGAGAAACTTTTCAAAGGTTAGTGAATAGCTCTGTCGGTAAGTACTGACGGCGATCGCCCGTTATTCAACACACCTTTCTCTGTCATCGGCAACACAGCTCTTTCAATGACATTTTCGGGCAGTGACAAAGCCCGAAATGTGCTGAACATGACGATTACTGGTAAATTCTTTTGTGGACGTTCAAAACTGCCTAGATCCTACTTGAAATTGATTTTCATTTTGTGGACTCTCTAAAGCTTGATCGGTTTTTCGTTTTAGTTCAGAAGAGACGAAGCAGCAGCTGTGCACAGGGTTCAACATAACGTCGCTGAAAAATGGCCATTTCCCCGAGTCCTACCACTCAATAAGGCTCCCTTTATATGAATAGTTATATAGGAACCTACACAAAAAAAAATTAAATTACTTCCTTCCAAAAGGCTTTTCTCACTTGGTACTTCTACTGGTTGGATTCACATATCTCTGATTCCAACGTTGTGTAAACTCTATTGGACTCCTCTTTGAGACTCGAGGCTTTTTAATTTCTCGAGCACATAGGAAACTTTCGGTTACTTCGCTTATGGCTCCTAGAACATTTTTCACACCTATAGAGCGTTGTTCAGATGTAACTAAATTTCCTCGAACTCACAATCCCACATTAAATTACTCAGGAGATGAGTGAAACGCCGTTTTATTTCGATCAAATGAGTTCTGCCGAATATCCGATAGAGAAATATCCGATAGCATCGAATCATCGAACGATGGAGCCTCATTCATAGTAGAGGATGGGCATTAAGTACGATCAATGCGACTGGAAGAGTAAGCGACAGAACGGCATTGAACTTTAGATTTTCCGCCGTTTCAACGATCAGCTGTGAGGCGCTAAGGTGGTGGTGACTGCCCTGATCAATAGAATCACCTGAGTTTCATCGTTTCAGGGGGAATCCTTCGATTCCAAGGATCCACAACGAGTTGCATACACTGGGGAACAAAACGAAACAATGCGTCATCACACGCCCCCGACGGTCTGATGTGACGTCGTATGTTTTACGTCCTCATTGCCATATGCTCGCTTCAACAGGAGTTCCAGTGCATGAGACCCGGAAGCAACGGCGACGTGACAGGGTGCTCTCACGAAACGAGATTCCACACTTTTTTCATGAATACTTCAGTACTTTGTAATGGAGAAACGAAGTCAGCTGTCAAAGACGATCAGCGCCTGGGGAAAGCTTGAAGGAAACAACTCGGTATCGTTGAAGTTACCAACTCAAGTCCATGTGTGCGAAGCTGTTCACCTGTATACACAGTCGGAGTAGACCAATGAGATTTTACTAGAACTCGAAAGATGTATCCCTAGGATCACCACTACTTCAAGGGCACGAAGACCACCCGGTTTAAATCGTTTTCGTGCCACTGACGCACACTGCTTTTTTGCTAGCCGTTCATGAAATATTAACAACGCCATGCCTATTTTCTGATTTATTGAACCGTATTGAAATAAGCCAAAGTTCTCTGGCTTGGTCTTTTCAGATGCAGGGAGCGATTCTTAACGTTCAAAACGGCCATTTCTGCTGCCATTTATGCCTGTGAATGTGTACGAATATTGATTGAACACAAAGGCTCTAGATAGAGAAGTGTGCTTGCAGAGGCGAAAGTTTGTAGTACACTTAGTTGTACTGCACAAATTCTTCCATCAGTCAGATAGACATGAGTCTGGGAAAAGACTTTGATCTGAAGCACAGAATGTCACTTTTTTACCTGAATGTGCAGTTAACCAATCCATGAATCATTACACACATGAATTTTCTGTTCTAGGGTTTCCACGTGATGCTATATTGTCGGGTAACAGAACTTCTCCCCGGTTGCGGCATTCTCTCTTGCGGCATGCGGCAAATGTCACTGAAATTACCGTACCCACCCCGCCTCCCCGCCAATCGATAGGACGCAATATTTTTCGTTGNTAGCGACGATCAAGACCGCATTGGAATTGAAGAGAGCGGCCAGCCGATTCAAATTATTAAAGGACTCCCTCTCCACAAATTGCGCGCTCCAATCTTCCATCGAAAACCTGCGATACGCGGCGGGTGTGGCGCCGTTTTCGGGGAGAAGATTCCGGACCCCTATATTGTCCACGGTGAACTTCTATTCTATGATCAGCCACGAAGGTTGCCAAGTAGATATAGTTAGAAAAATAAAAAACCACAACAGGCTAACCCTAATTTCTAACACCCATATTTTCACAAAATCTGGTGTGTCCGAATCATTACGTGGATAGAGATGCCTGAACTACTGCACTTTCTTCGTTAATAGACCTATACTTTTCTTCGAGCCCTCTCGATACAGGTCCCGCTTTGGAGGAATTTTCATCCTTTATCCAAAGTACCCTCTCTCATGTACTGACAATCGACTCCACTTCACTCATGAAATGCTTGTTAGAGATACTAGACGCAGATGTCATGCGAGTAATACCTAGTCCAGTACAGTCTGCCCAGAAACAGTGCTCTTATTGTTAGTGATTTTGTCATGAACCCTGCGGTTGTAGAATTCCTTGTCATAGTTTCCTGTGAAAGTGCAGAAGACTAATACCTAATTCTGACTGAGCCAATTGTTACAGAAGAAAAAACACAACGACAGCTTACACAGGATCTCTATTTGCACCTAGAGGAATCGAGTGATTACGAATTTTATTAAATTAAACTGAATGTGTGTATGTGGGAAGTGCAAGGCGATGCGAAAATTCATTACGAGCAGATGGACCTTTTCCGAAATGGGAGAAGGCTCAGCGTGTTCGTTTTTCCATCTGAAACATGTGTTATCGTTTCTACCGGAAAGATTATACAACGAAGAATGCTGTATAGCCCCCACTTCGTCCTCAGGCTGTCCATTGCTTGTACCAGTGATGGGTCGCCCACTCCATTCACTCGCCATCGCTTCACTACCCACCCACTCAACGAAGGGAAGAGAAGGCGGAGTTGCAGCTCCTTATTGGACAGCCGCGCAATGGTCACTCGAAGACTACGGTAGCCGACTGTTGACTACTACGATATATCGCGTGCTACCGGTCCACTGGATGGCCTAAATTGGCATGTACTACTTCATATACAGCTTGGAGTGACTGAGAGAATAGGGCAACCAGCACGATTTGATGCTGACCATGTGGGGTTTATCATGGTTCTTGAACTCTTTCCCGTCTCCCTTTTCTCGATAGGCTCATGAAGATTAACAAATAAACTGTTGGGCTTCGAGTATCTTGAAAAATTGGTGCGAGGAGCATCGCTGAATCAACTTTTTTCACTAACCACAAGAAGATCAACGACGACGTCCGAGGCTGAAGCCAATGGTGAATGTGGAGGTATGCTTTATTTTGTTGGATCGAAATGTTTCCCTTCCTTTTTTGCTTAACTTCAGCAACTTCAACATGAATGGAAGCGCAGCAGTCTCTGTTACCAACCCACAGGCTCATCATATCCATTGTCTCCAAGCTGCAATAATACAAATGAGATTAGAAAGCCTCTGGAGGCGCTTGACCGTGGATGCCATGCGATGCACATATCCTGAACAGAGAAACGGAAAATGCGAGTTCATTTATGGTATCAATGCTCACTGCGCTTACGTAGGTCACTTCAGAAAACGTTTTGGTAGCAGTAGGATACCTGAACATCCTTATAAAATTGCAATCCGTTATGGTAATCACCGTGTCTTATACATATTCCTGTTGTAACAATTAGAATACTCCTAAGATTACATTTCCACAAGAAGTATCTTTCTTTTGGTTGTTAGTTCCGCGCAAAGACAGGTTGCTTCGTTCCTGTTAGCTGTCACTATTTTCCTTTATCAGCAGCATCTTCTAGGGTTACAGCTACTTCGGTTTCGATCATGTTCCACCATGTTTTCGTTAGGGTACTTCGTGGAGGATTTTCCTGAGCTGGCATTTCTCTCTCATCTTCAGCTGAACAGGGGAGTGTGCATGACAATCTTGACCTGGGCGTTTCTAACCTGGGCAGACCAATCACAGGGCCCATACCAACCAACATCATCGGGCTTCGGAGTGAAGTATTTCTCACGATTTCTACCCATGGGGCTGCACTCGTTCCGTAGGGCATCTTAGGCCTTAGCAGGGTTCTGTACAGCTTTCCTTTGAGTCTACTGGAGCACCAGGAGAATCTTGAGTTCCTCGCAGCCTGGCTGTTCTCATAGCTTTTGGGCGAGCACCTTCAATCTCATCCCACATCCTTCTCTCCACAACCTATCCCGTTCTGCTTAAAGGCACAGTTCACGATAGAAATGGTTTTTGAGATTCACCACAGGATGAGTCTGAGGCCCCCGTTTATTCCATATCTGACACCATTAGGTCGGAAAACGGCCTAGTTAAGGAGTTTCAAAGGCTCAAAGATCGGCCCGTGTGTATCCTCGGACGAGTTTCACCGGCATTACAAAGGCTGCACTGATCACAAGGGAGCCCACATAGGAAGTTCAAACAACTTGTCATGGCCCATAGCGGCAGTGAAAGGCAGTTCTGTACGGTTCTGGCTTGATGTGGTCAGCTCTATGCGCAAATGCAACGGCCAAAATCTCGTCCACATACCCCCTCCAAGTTTTTTCCGTCATGGTAATCTCGTCCGACCTCTATTCTCCCCACTTTTGAGTAGCCATATTTTTCTCGAGATTCTCTCGCTTTTTTCACTACTGTTGAACTACTCCCAATCTATACTTCCACTTTTAGAATAAAAACGGGTACCTCAAAATTATCGTGAACTGTGCCTTTAACCCAGCTGTGGCCCGCCGGCGGGCCAAGCGGTCCCAGAAGCAATCCAACTGTTTTGCCAGTTGTTCCCCTGAGATAAAGTTCTATAAAAATGTCATGGTAACGCTTCCCCTTGCCTTGTATCCAGTCCGTGCTGACATCTGCAGTGAGCTACCCTTTGTGCAGCAGTTGCTCTCCTACCATTCCACGTTTCCCCTTGCCTTGGGTCCAGTCCGTGCTACCACTCAACGCTTCCCCTTGCCTTGA